GCCTGTTTCTTAAGATGGTGGCTTTGACCTTCATGTACGATCTTGTTACAATCACAGCAAGCTTTTCTTTTTTGCTCTTCTCCATTCTGTACTGCCCAGTCGGGGTGGATTTCCCAAGCTCTGCCTTAACCCAAAGACCATAGAGCTGCAAGCATGATACTCCTTTCAAATTCATGCTTGAGGTTTCTTTGCCCCTATCTCACCCCCTGCCCCATTCCACCCCCTCCTTACATCCACATACAGGTTGACCCCAACCACACACACTGTGCCCCCAAACCCTGGCCCTCTAACCCCTGCTCTCCATAGACTTACCTGCATCCAGCTGCATGTATGTGTGTGGGTGTTCAGGCACACGTGATGTCCCCTGCCTTCAATTGTCCCTCCTCTCGTTCCCCAGTCCCAAACAGCCCCTTGGTCAGGCAAACCAGAAAGTGCCGGGGAAAACTTTGATGATGAGTACAGCAAAATCCCAGACATTTGTTCCTATTTAAAAAAAAAATGCCCAGATGCAGATGGAAGGACCCAAAAAGAGAACTTGGGACATATGGTAACCCTAGTAAATTAGAAGGTGGGGGGAAATCACTTTTATGTTACTAGTTTGCAAATGTCAGTTGGTTTTGGAGTAGTCAGGCGTGTCGTCTGTTTCTTATGTTTGTATCCTGTTTACTTATTCTGGGCATTCCTTTCTTTCCTTTCTTTTAACCAGGGAGGGTCAGCCTTTAAAACTGCCCGACACTAAAAAGACACTGTTGTTTACATTCAATGGTAAGAGATTTTTCTGATACCTTATCTGTGCAAATCTGATAATGACCAAGCTATGCCACCTTTGAGACAAACAGGATGGCTGGGAATTTAAAATTCATTGTAGAAAAATAAAGTAAAAAGTAAACTAAGTGCGGTATTCTACATTAGGACCTGAGTGGATTCCAGTATTGGTAATGGGCTATATGGTGTCTTGCTTCTTCTAATCTAGGCCCAATGACTAGGGACCTACTTAATTTACAGCCAGACAAAGGAGTTTTCATAGCTTGTCTGCGGCATGAAGAGCTGAATTCATGAGCATTTCCTGGCAGCCCCACCTCTTGCTTCTGATTGGCGGAGAGGCCCCAAGACCGGGGAAGGGGGTAGCCGCCATCTTGGCTGCTGGATGCCCTTCTTTCCTCCCCACAAGCCAGCACCTTCCCTCCCCAGGAAGACTGAGAGGCAGCAATGACCACTGGGGAGCCAGCATTTTATTTTTGTTGGTTTCACGGACAATTGCGGATTTTGTGGTTTTTGCAGAATCATGAATTTAAGTAGATCCTGACCAATAGTTGTTACAGTCAATGGAAGTTCTGTGGCTTGTCTGGAATGAGTTCTTAGTTTTCTGTCCCCTCCTTATAAGCAGATATCCAGATCAGGCACCAGCAGAAGTAGCACTTAATCCTGAAATTACCAAAAAACACAAGTCAAAGCCTGAATGGATCAGTCTCACAGTGGTCATCTGCAGGCAGCATTGAGGAGCATTGTGGCAGTAAAGACAAGCAGGTGGTACCATGTTTTGCAGCCTGTACTAAGTATATGCACATCTGCGTGATTAACCCCTTTTAAATTAAGCAACACAAACTACATGGGATTTTAGTTTGTATTCATTCAACAAAGACTAAATGCTTCCTTTTGGTGCCTGTGCACTACAGTTGACTTCGCTGGGAGTGGTGGGCAAAACTTGGCCTTTAATTTCTATTCTGCACTCATCAAAGCAGGAATTTGATACCCATTTGAAAATGTGCACCCTACCAGTATTCAGTATTAATGGAACATAAGATAGAAATAGTGCCTGTGATCATCTGAATTTAATCTCTACTTTAAAGTAAACATCTTGTTCTGTTAGATAGTTCCTTTTTAGAGGAGAATTAGTGCATCTTTCTTGCAGGTTGCTCAGCCTGCTGATGCAAATGTGTAAAGAACATGCTAATTAAGTAGCAGAAGCCTTGCCAACACTTTTGAATTAATCTGGAGAAAATGTTTTTGCTTTTCAGTGCCTGGTTCAGGCAACACTTCCCCAAAGGATATGGAGGCTTTGCTGCCTCTGATGAATATGGTTATTTACTCTATCGACAAAGCAAAAAAGTTCCGTCTAAACAGAGAAGTAAGTTATATGCTGCTGTCTGTTACTTTCACATAAGGTATAAAACTGATTAAAATAAAAGATGCCATGGTAAATTTTGTAAGGTTAGGAGCCTTACATTTGAAATGGAACTATTACAGTTATATTGTGCTTTATTTTAATATGGGGTCATACTTGATATTTGGTATTCTTAATTTCCTTTTTAGAGCAGGAGTGTCAAACATACAGCTCACAGGCCAGATCCAGCATGCAGTACTACTCTGTTCAACCTGCAGGGCTACCAGTGGGCCACTGGAAAGTGTGGGGAGTAGCCTGCTTCAAAATCCAGGGCCCTTGGGCCTGGTGGACATGGTGATCAGATGTAGGAGGGCTAGCAAGGGTTAATACTGCTTGGGTTGTCATTCAGCAGTTTCACCTATTGCCACTGCCACAGGCCTATCTTCTCAGCTATTGCCTCATGCTGGAGCTGTGTCAAGGCCCAGAGCTAGAGCAGCTGCTGTGGTATGGGTCAGAGCTGGAACTGTTGCATGTACTGGGCTGGAACCATCTTCTGCCCTTGGCTGGATCCAGCCCACGACACAAAATGAGTTGGAAAACCCTGGACCAATCTAATAAAAAGGAGCTTTTATACTTTCTATCCTAAAATGCTGCTGTGTGCAGTTAAGCAATTTGACATGTTTCTCACTACTTGATTGATGGCAATATTTCAGTGGCAGGATGACATCAAATGTAAAGTTTCTGCCTTCGAACTGAAAAATGTCTTTCATGTCTATCACCAAATTCTTTAGTGTTAATGTTTTATTGTTATTCTGTAAACACTAACTAAAGGTAAATTGAATCCATTTTGCTCATGTACTTGAGAGAAAGCGAGAGAGAGAGCTCTTTCCTGAAATGCTACCCGTTAAATAGAATAATCCCAATCCCCAAACACTTCTGTGCTTGATTTTAATGCATTTTAAAACAAAATCATGAAATTTAGCAAAACTATTCCTAGTGCATGTAAATAAACCTGTGTAAGTCTCTGCAGAATCTAATCCTATTCCTGAATCTTCTGTCTTTCAAATGGCAGAAGATAAAACAGGGTGCTCCTCCTCCTTGTATAAAATGGAGATGGATGTTTCTGCCGTATACTTCTGCAGTGGTTCTGTATATTTTGTTGTGGGCCTAATTTCACTTGTAAAACATTTGTTGCTGATTATGATAAAGGAGGAACATGGTTTGATTTGGATTCTGATCTAAGTTTATGAAGCTGACATAAGAGTGAAAAATCTCTTTACCTGTGCACTAAGAAGGTTTTATCTGAAGATGATATGTAAAAATCTCAAGGTGTCATTTTGAGAAGTTTTCAGAGTAAAACTGTCATTTAAATTGAGGAATTTTGAGGCTTTGTAGCTATTTCAGACCCTCCTTCCTTACTGGAAAATTATCTGAAGTACCAAACATTTCTAAGTATTGTTTTGTTTGTCTTCTGGTGAAAAGGGTAAACAGAAAGCTGATAAGAACAGGGCCCGAGTAGAAGAGAATTTCCTTAAATTGACTCATGTGCAAAGGCAGGAGGCTGCCCAGTCCCGCCGGGAGGAGAAGAAACGGGCCGAAAAGGAGCGAATCATGAACGAGGAGGATCCAGAAAAGCAGCGTCGCCTGGAGGTAAAATGGATTTTTTTGAACTGTTAAAGACACTGACACCTATTTTCTTCCAGTTGTTACCAGGCTTGCTTGTTAGGTTCCCAGAATCTGCATGTGCTCTCTGGTTAGCCTAAAGATATAATTTGGGCATGGAGACAGATTTTTGTTATTCATTTGCTAATTATTTATTAACTTGTCTCCCAGAGTGGGTTTGTATCCTCCTGTTAGCCTTGTTTGTTGTATAGAAGAGACTGCACCCTGAGAACAGCATCCGAGTTTGCCCAGCTATCTTGATCTTTTCAGAAGCTCAGCTTGCTCCTTTAGTGGGGATATGGATGTTTATTCAAGCCTCTGTATCCTTTCCTATATAGGAAGCTGCCTTGCGGCGTGAGCAGAAGAAGCTTGAGAAGAAACAGATGAAGATGAAGCAAATCAAAGTGAAAGCCATGTGAATCCAGTCTGGGGAACTTTAATTCACAGCGTACAAGGAACTAGATAACTTCATAATTTTCAAAAGCTACTAGCCATTAAAAGAGAAAAATCTTGCATCAGCATTAATTAAAAATCTGGGTATCACAGCCACATACAGATGTATATAGAGGGTTTTCTGTCTGCAGTTTTCTGTCAGATGGTTGAATTGGTTTGCCACTTCTATCTGTTTTAAAAAATAATAATAATAACTTGCAATATCCCTTGAACTTTTTGCGATTGTTCTGGGTTTAGTTAAAAAAAACAAAACAAAACAAAAAAAGCAAAGATTGTAAAACTAGTCATTTGTGCCAGCGTAACATATCAGTGCTTTGATTATTAGACTTTGTTTCTATTTAGAGGTGGGGGGCAGTTTTCTTTTAAGTTTAGGGTGAGGAAAACATAGATCCCCATATGACTAGTAAATTGCACAGTAAACATTGTTTAGTGTGTATTTATATGCTTGCCTGCATCAAGCTTACTTAAAAAGGTGCAAAACTTAGAGCCTATATATGGTATGAATATTTCAGGGATATAAACCAAGCATAGTTTTAGAAAAATCATTTTTTGACAAACAAAAGGCACTGAAACAGTATTTCATAATCTGTAGGCTTGATTGGCATAGACAAAAGCTGTACATCCGTTATGTATCAGGGAATGGCATACAGGAGCACTGTTTCTTTCTTGTAGTTCTGAATGCTGCAAGCTTAATACAATGTGAATTCTGTACTTGTAAGTGTGTTTCTTATGAAGTGAGTGCATGGTGAGCTGACAGCTTCATTTAGATTTTCGTAAATATTTTAAACTTTACAAAGTCACTTCTTAAGTATTTTCCTCCTGGTCTGAGCAGCTGCTGCCTATTTAATGTTCACCCAGAAGCTAGATTCTCAGTGAAATATCTGTGCAATTTCCCCTTCTACCAAGCCAGGAAAAACTCTATAGAAGATGAGCATCTTTTTCATCTGTTGAAAAGGCTGTTTACTTCTGTATTTTCAGATTGGTTGGGGGGAATAGACACACCTGTGCAAGCACGTAGCTGTCTGTCGAAGCTTTTGCATTTTATAAATGCTTCCTATCTAGAAGGCATTTTATTGTTGCTTGTAAGGGACACTTTCTAGTTTTGTGAGGGGATAATCTTTGTCTTTTGCATTTCTTGTTTAATGCTTTATGTGCAAAACTTGTTCTGAGGCAATAACAATGACTTGCTGTTGAAACAGCATGTGCTAAAAGACTTTTTGTTGCAGCATGAGACGCTTCTTCACACTAATCTGAATGCAGAAATCTGTAATATGATACATGCAAATATATTAATTTTATAATAATTGGTGAAAAATAATTTAAGCCAAAAATTAACATAAGATTTATGTGGAATTTAACTATTTTAGCATTACTTAGCTTTGAAGAATGAGATTTAATATAGTATTTCACAAAGTTCTTTTAAAGAAAATACCATTAATTTGTGCTCTTTTCAATAAATGGAAAGCTTTCTTGAAGTCCCATAAACTTTTGGGCCATGGCAGCTAATTTTGTAATATGAACATTCATATGAACTACCTATGGAGAGTAAAATATAACTGAAACATTCCAACTGCCTTGACTTTGGACTCATTCCTTTTCACCATCTCGTATTACAGCCCTTGCATTTAAAAAAAAAAAAATCATTATTAAAACAACTTGCTATAGTTGTATTTTTTTTTCCACTCTTCTCCAGCCTAACTTCTTTGTGTTGCAAGAGTATTACCTTCTAACAGAAATTGTTGTGTTTGTCAGCCTAGCAACATAGGAGTGCATCTCATTGGGGATGGAAATTGCCATATGATTATCATTCTCTCTTAGTAAGAAGAGAGCCAACTTGTTTCAAATGATTTCATAATCCTCACTTGGTATAGATGAAATGTCACTGTCCCAACACTAGATGTCAGCTCTTTCTTTTAAGGAACATTTCCTATTCATCTGTGTTTAGAGGTAGAGGAAAATGGGATTCTAGAATACAGAGCATAAGTCAGGAGTGGTCAAAATATAGCCTGTGGGCCAGATCTGGTCTGCTAGTTGATTGCATCTGACCCATGCCCTGTGGCGTACCGCATGGGGCTGAGCTCTGCCTGTTCCCACCCAGGGCATCCTGTGCTGTGGTCCAGCCTGCACCTGCCCCTGCCCCATACCTGCTGATAGCCCTATAGCCCTGACCAGTGTGCACAGCTTCCTGGTGGGGCTGCTTTCACTCAGTCACCTGCAGGTGGCTGCTCATTGTGCAGGGCAGGCAGAGTGGGTAGGTGGCTGGGAGTTGGAGCCCTGTGCACTGGGGCCAGGAGCTGGCTGCATGCAGCTGGGGTGACTGGGGCCACCGGCAGAACTGCCGTGGCCACCACCAGTTCCCTGCACTACCTGCTGCCTGGAGTGGTGCAGCAGGGGCAAAAAGGAGGAAGAGAAACTGGGCAGCTGCACCAGGAACAGCCCTACCAGGAAGCTATGTATGCTGGCACAGTGCCCTCGGTGGGACAGGGCAAAGCTTGCCCCATGCAGAGTACTGTGGGCTGGATGTGGGGGGGAGGTGGACTGCACTGCCTGGGCAAGCTCTGCTGCATGTGTCCCCTGTCTCACCATCCCTCCCTTCATTCCTGGCTGGCTGGCTGGCTTTCGGGACCCAACACGTGAGTACCCCACACACTCACCCCCTCCACCTCCACACCCCATATACAAGGGTAAGACTTTATTTTGAGCTATCATGCAATCATCTCTATATGCACTGCTCAAAAAGCATAAATCAGGATAAAAATATTGTTGAATAAAATTAAAATATGTTATAGTAGATGTTTTATTTTTAGCCATATGGGTTTTTATCTATAATTTGTTAAAATATCTTGTGAAAGATTTTGTGTGTGTGGCCCTCCACATCTCAGTAAAACTAGTTAAGTGGTTTGCCAGCCAAAACAATTGCCCACCCTGGTGTAAGTTAACAGCCCATTCTCAGATAGCTAACAGTGCTAAAATCTCACAACAAAGTATTAATATTTCTAGGTGAAAGATGAGTCACAATGGAGGCTCATTATTTATTTGTTTATCTTCCATTTCAGTATTAAAATATTAATGGGGGTGGAGAATAATTAACACTTCTTGCATGCCTTGCAGAGATTTTCAGAATTTTAAGAGTAGTTTGGCAATAGAACAGAATACTTAAACAAAAAAAATAGCATAAGCCAATACTCCAGTCTTCCAAATTCATTCAATTTAAAAGTGTTGGAGCATTTCAACTGTAGGACAGTGTTGGGTTTCAGAGAAGCTTTTGGGTTCAGTTAAAGTTGAGAGCTTCCTGCCACTATGAAACTGATCTTTGGGCTCACAACTGAGAACTTCGATGCAAGAGTCAGGAGATGAATCTCAGTGAAAATTTGACTCCACCTTTAATTCTATCAGTATCTATCCCTGTCACCCATGTAAAGTCCCATTCATTTTTCCAAGATTGATCTATGCCCCTGAATCCATGGGTCTGTTCCCTCCACATCCAGGCACAATTTTCCTTATCTATAGAGGAAAAAGAAATGGAGAGAAGAGATTCCATTCCCCACCCCCCAAACCCTTCCCCTCCAACAAACAAGACATCAGAAGCTGTATGAACTTATCTGCATTTCTTGGTGTGTTACATAGCCTCTTTATGTGTTTTAGTTTCCAAGTCCATGGCAGGTGGCCTCTTCTGTGAATGGACAGCAAAGCGAAAGATTTGGTTTCTTAGCTTTTGGAATTCTGGTATATTTTCAACATCCATCTCAACTGTGTGAGGCAACATCATTTATTCTGGCATAGCTGTGGAACCATTGACTGCCTTGGACCATTCTTCCTTGTAGGAATAGTAGTTCTTAGCTACTTCTGGAAGTGTAAGTCTGCAGACTATGCCTTTCTGATAAACTTACATAAGTCTGATTGCAAGAACAGTGTAGAAAAATGATATTTGATCTGAAATTAGTTTTTTTCCATTAATAACATCAGCGAGAGATGATCTTACTACCAACAATATTAAAAATGCTATGTGACTGAGTCCTGCTCAAACTTGTTTAAGATTAACAGCTGACTCTATTTTTATACCCTGTAACAACTGAGATGCCAACTGTTGTACTAAAGGAATTGAACTGTTTGCAACTAAGGTGTGAAACCAAATACTATTATTTGACCTACTGAATGCTTATAAAATCTTGGGGAGGTTCCTCACATTACCCTAGGGACTGAGAGCATTTCTCTAATGTACTAAACCCGTACTTGGAGGACAGAGCTATAGTAAGTTGATGGCTTGTGAATCGCATGCCGTTATCTTCCATTACAAAGCTCTACATTTGCATTGCTGAGCTGGCTTTCCCATTTTTCTTTTCCTCTAACATGCTTTGTGTTGAGTTGGTAGTGTTGGAATAATGCAGCCATGATGGTCTAGGAATTGTGAGTGGCAAGGATTATTGTGACTGATACCTTTTTATTGGACCAGCCACATGTGGACTTAGAAAAGCTGCTGGATGCATTGCATTCATCATTGGATCAGATCTGCATTCAGCAGAATTGCATTGCATTCGAAAGCTTGTGTAAGCATACCCCAGCCATGCAGCTGGTCAAATAAAACATGCCACCCACTGCAGTCCTTGCCTCTTATACTGACTCGTGCATCCTCTAGGACAGAGGTTCTCAAACTGTGGTCTGGGGGCCACCGCTGGTCCACGAGCTCCATTCGGCTGGTCTGCAGAAAGGTTGCAGAACAATCGAGAATATCTGTACTTGTAAGAGAACAGATATTAAAATATGAGTTGCGTGCTCTGATTTGTAGAACAAAAAAAAGTTTAGCTGAGATCCTCAACAATTTTCAAGTGGTCTGCGAAAAAAAAAGTTTGAGAACCACTGCTCTAGGACTTTTAGAGGAAAGGTGCAGCCCTTTATGAAGCTGTCCAATATAACGGGGAGATTTTTAGTGATGGACTGTTACTAGTGATGCAGGTTCTGGCCTTGGGCACGGCCTGTTTGACCTGAACATGTTACTGAACTTTGCCTTGGCATGACCATTATGATGCTGAGCTCCTATTTAAGCCTGAATTAAACCAGTGAAGAAGGTAACTGAAGTTTTAAATGCTGCTTTGAGGTCCTTCAATGGAAATCACTGTAATGGTGTAAAATTGCCTGCTGTTTATGTGCTTTGTGATGACTGAGGTGCCCCTGGCTGCTCTGAGAGAAAGGTGTGAGACTTGACACAACCACAGCCGGCAGGAGAATTCAGGATGGCAAAACTGCCCCCGGGGGCTGTCTAGCTCAGGGTCAGAGCAGCGCTTACTGACCAGGCCCCAGGCCCCGTGTAGCTGGGAGATCCTCTGGGCCCCGGGGGCTGTCTGGCTCAGGCCCGGGATGTGCTGTTACTCTCCTCCGGGCTCCCTTTGCTCACGTTAAACAGCACCTGCCTGGCCTGCAAACTCCCCCCAGCGGAGACCAGTGTTGCCAGGTATATGATAATTATCATGTTTGTACAATAGTTTCAACTCTTGTACAACATGCAATCAATAATAGTACAAACGTTCAAAATGCACAATAATTTTGAGGCAGCTCGTTGATGCAGTGCATGCATCACCCACCTCACTCTCTGGACGTCTTAACTGACGTTTGGGCTTGCTCCCGGCTCGCTCTCATCACGAAGGGACTTTGATCCCGAAAGCTTGCAGAAAAGGCCCATTTTCTTGCGATTTCCCAGTTGGTCTAATAACAGGTATCATTTTGGAACCAAGAGTTCTAGTTTTTTGTATGTCTTCAAAATAAAGACTGGGTTTTTGGTCATAGCTGTGTTGGTCTAAGGACACAGGTAGGCCAGGGTCTTGGAGTAGATGTGATCTCTTTTATTAGACCAACTGAGTCGGTGGGAGGGGAAACAAATTTTTGGCAAGGTTTTGGGTGCAGCCCCCCTTCGTCCGTCATGGGGGGGGGGGGTGTGTCTCTGCTGGCCTGAGACTTCAAAGTCACATTTCAACGTTGATGATCCAGTTGTCGCCCACGGGCGAGTCCAAGCGAGCAACGTGAAATAAAGACGACTTGATCGCACGTGCATTTCCGGGTTTTTCCAGCGCACCGCAAGCTTTCCGCAAAGGCGGTGTTTCCCACGCGGTCGTTTCCTATTTCAGACCCGCTGAGCCTCGCGGCCAACCCCGCCCCGCGCAGAGGTCACCGCGGCCGTCACGCACGCGTCGCGTGGTGGCGTCATCACGCCGCCTACGAAGTGCTGCCGCGTCCCGGGAACCGGCGCCTGGAGCCTGAGGAGCGAGCGAGTGAGTCCGCGCGCCGGGGCTCCTCGTGGCTGGGCCCTGCCCCACTCCCCGCCCAGGCCCGGAGCGGTGGCGGCGCCGGCCCTCGCGGCCGCTTCTCCGCAACCTTGCGTGCGCCCCCCTCGCTGGGAGCCGGGAACGGCCCGTGTCCCCGGCCCAGCCGCGCTGGCGGCAGCGCCCCCCCGTGGGAAGCGACAGGAGCCCCGGGTCGTGCCCGAGTAGTACGGCGGGCTTTCCGCGCAGTGCTCTCATTTCCCGCCCGCCACCGCCTTCCAAATGGCTGTGCCCCGTCGTGCTGCCAGGGGGTCAGAGCAGCGCTTCTCGACTAGGAGCCAGGCCCCCTGCGGGGCCGGGAGATCCTCTGGGCTACGGCACCTCCTGAATCTGCGGGGGACCTGCAGAAGCCACTGACAGGCTGGGTGGCAAGCACCCGTGGAAGCTGTCGGTGGTGTTGTCGGGGAGTCCCACCGGCCCTTCCCAAGGCATCAGCATCAGCCGTCCAGGCTGCGGGGGGCACTGGCCCTGTTGGGGGAGGGGGGGGCATGAGCACCCCAGTGCACCCGCTACCAGTTGCCTGTCGAGGGCAGTTGGTGTCTCAAACCTGATTCACCAGATAAACTTTCACATCTCTGAGGGGTCTTTCTGAGTTCTTTGCAATGGAAAAGCTGCTCTCTTCTTTTTCTGTAGGCAAGAAAAGAGCGAAAACAACATTGGCATTTTTTGAGGGCTGCCTTGAGTCTATCGAGTGAGACCCCACGGTTTAAAGACACGATTACTGAAGGTTTGTAGGGCTGGACCTGGCTCAAGCCTGTAATGCTAGGTCAGCAATGTGCAGCCAGGGAACTGTGGCACCCTAGGATGCTGCAGGATCCTTTTAAGGGTGATGCACAGTATTAGCACCTGTAAGTGTTTGCGGACCTAACACATGATTCACCACATAAACCCAAGTATTTTCAAATAGGCTTCTTTAGCGTCAGAGACATTCTGATCTGTTGAGGTCTTTCTGAGTTCATGTAATAGCAAAATTGTCCTATTATTTCTCGGTAGTCAAAAACCAAGTGAAAGCTACATTGTTGGCACTTCCAAAGGGGCCTTGGGTCTAACAAGGGGTACCTTGATTTTAAAAAGGTTGAGAACCGCTGTGCTAGGTACTGTGCAGACACGCAATGAACATCCTTTCCCTGATGAACTTGCTGGGTATCAGTCTGCACATTGCATGGTAATCACTGTGTGATAGAAGATGTTTGATAGGTTGTTTAGGTTCATAAATACTGTTTTTCAAAATTTGCTGCTACATGTTGAAAACAAATTCACCTGAAACAACTAAGTTTTAATTTTCCAACAACTGGTAAGAGTGTCCTAGGTATATCTGGAGATGTGAATGGAGTAGTAATTCAAGCTGCAGGGATGTGCAACTCAGACTTTTGAGGGCCACTTGCAAGTTATGGTTCCAAATGGGGGACTTCCACAAATGGGATCTGCCCTGATCCAGATGCAAGTCCTCAGCATCTTTGCAAGTAGAGAAACTGGACCATAGACTCAGTTACCGTGATTTGGTGTGCATTGCAGATACAGGAGTTGCTCAACATGTTTTTCCATCCTTTTAATAAAGTGGTTGTCATAGAGAGCTATGGTGAGCCACTAGGGTTTCTCTGGCAGGTCTCATGTTTCACACCTCTATTGCACTGCAAAGATTCAAAGTGAAGGTGATACATTTCCCCCCACCTCCCCCCAAGTCCTCCTGAAATAACTTTTCTCTTTTTCCTGTTTTCAGGACATTTTTAATTTCACAAATTTGGAGTATTACAAATCTGGATTCCATGTCTTTTCTTGTAAGTAAACCAGAACGAATTAGGGTGAGTGTTATATGCCTTCTAGTTTTATTCCAAATAGCACTGCATTTATATAAATTGTTCACTTCCATACACGAAATGGTTGCAGGAATGGGGCCTGAGATTGAGCCCTATTGACTTGAGTGCCATTTGGACACAAGGCCTTCAGTGTTCTTATTACCTGAAACTTATAACCAGAAAGCTAGATTTTTAAGTTTATTTTTGCAAGTGCCTACTTGCAGAGGGAGAAAGTACTTCTAGAATCTATTGATCTCTGAGCAAGGTACTGTATGTGCTTATAATGTGCTTGTATAATATGATAATAAGCATTCATTCTCTTCAAGTATTGGTCATTCAGTAGAATCTTATTACAAGGAACCATGTTTATAGCAAATCCTCCCTTTAACAATCCCAACAGCAAGAACCAATTTTTTTCATTAACTTTATTATAGCAGACACCCTCTTAATGAATTCTTCTTTTGAGTCCATGGCAGTTTGTTATAATGAAGTTATACTGTTTTTGCTGTTGTACAGTTGTGGCTTTATAATCCCTTATAATTGAGAAAAATTGCAGAAATATTAGTCTTCCACTTCTTTTCTCTTTGAAAACATGCTTTTGGTTGGTCTTAGCGCATATATTTTGGCTATTGTTCTAAACTTAAAATTCATATAGAAGTTTTATATTTAACTTAAATGTTCCTTTTTTAATGGTTGGAACAATACAGCTTTGTTCTAGTGCTTAAAAATCAGGCAGCATATAAAACAAAATTAAAACTTGAAAATAAATTACATGGAAAATTACTTAATGTATTTTTTAATATAAAACACCAATACTGCAGGTAGGGAACTGCATCTTAAATATGAATTTAATTTTTTTTAACCTTTATGGAGTTGAACTGAAAGATCAGAGCAATGTACCCATCAGTCTAACTGCTACCCTGAGTTTTAAACATTGTTTAAAAATGTTCTTTTGGAAGAAGCTAACGCTTCATTAGCATGTGTACTTTTAATATTTAGTTTAACTGATAAAAATAGACCTCTTCAAGGCAGTCGGCATCTAAACACATCATAACGTTTATGAGCACTAGAATGTTTTGCAAGAGTAGGAGTATGAAGTATAGCATGTTTTTTAGCCTAAGAGTGTATTTGGCCTTATTTGCTAGTGTAGAGCTTCCTGATTGAGTGATATGAAGGTACAGTAAAATCTGAATCTTTTGTAGCCAAGTAATTCAAAACCCACTTAATTCACAGTGGGTTGCTGAATTAAGGATGAGCTGTTTGCTGTGGCTGGTGTTCTGAAGGACACTGTTTCTCTACTCTGCTGGAGCGCCACAAGTGGTCCATCACAGTTGATCAAAAAGTGATGCCTTTTGAAATAAAACAGCAGGAAAGAGATGGAACACTCAGGAGTCCTGCTCAACTTTTCTGCAGCTCTGTATACCTCTGGCTACTTCATAGACCCTCATCTTTGCAGGGAGTAAGGAATTTAAATCCTGCAGAGTATCTTGAACCTCATGAATTTGAAATGCAGGGGACCAAAACATTTCAAAGTCAGTATAAAAGGGTTCAAATTATCCAAATTACTGTCAGTACATACAGACTTTGTTCACCTGCATGCAGACATTAGTAACAGATAATAACTGAGGCACTATCCCAGTGACTAATTAAGCATATTTTATGGTATGCAGCCCAAGGAGTTCCAATTGTAAAACAACAGCAATGATTGAGGGACATTTTTTCTCTAGGTCAGTCTAAGTGCCAGCACCATCTGCAAATCTGCCATCCCCAATTCCACCAAACTGTCCTCCTCCCTCTCCCCCAGCAGACCCGCTGGCGCTAACCCCTGATCATGCCAAACTGCCCCAATCCCACCAAACTGTTTCCAAGCGTTTATGGTCCAAGGGACCAGAAAATGGCTTCAAATGACAAGATAGCCATATTTCAAATTTTCTATATCATAAAGTGTACAAAAACATATCTTTTCAGCTGTGAGTGACAGTAGCTTTGAAGGATCCAATACTTTAAACTATCTGATATTGAACTAACAAAGTTTTTCCTGTACTAACTGCTCTGGAATCTACATTATGCAGAAGTTGGTTGTGTGCTGCCTGTGGGTGTATGCCATTATACAGATATGGGAATGTTTGCCATTTGAAACAGAAGTAGTTGGTTATGGCAGATTGGAGGGGGATATCTCAAGTGATCGATGAGCTCCTCTGTACTGTGCAAGTGTTAGAATAGTTAAAAGTCATTGGTATAATTCTGTCTTGAGTGATATTGAAAAAAAAAGCTGTTGAATGTATCTAGAGAAAATAATTAACTGGCTTTGGGGTTTTCTTCTTTAGAGGTGGGTGTCCGAAAAGTTCATTGTTGAAGGCTTAAGAGAGTTGGAGTTGTTTGGAGGTAAGTACTGTTTTGTTTTGTTTTTTAGATCCTTCAATAGAAATCTTGTTTGTTTTGAACATGAAGGTACCTATCTGGTGTAAATTAATGTCCAACTGCCACATAAATGAACAGATCAATTGGTAGTACTAAATTTTCAGATTGGCTCACAAAAGTGAATTTAGAAGGAAATAATTTGTCATATTATGTACAGGAGTTGATTTACAGCCTGTTGTAGTGCAGGTCTCTGGGCCTTTCAGTTCATGTTTCATAACATTGTCTGAATAACCTGTTCTCTATGTTAAGTGCAGATTTTGAGCCTGAAAAAGTTACTTGCAACTTGTTAAATTTGCAAGCAAAAGCAAATGTTAAAACAACCTTACGACTTCCCAGCAGAGCTGCCACACAATGAGCTGGGTTCTGTTCTGCCTCATACCTCGTTATCACAATTGGCAGCTGAATTCTGATCATAGACCATCTGGTAGGTGATGTAAGCAATGGAAGGAAGATATCTGGGGTGGAGAAAAAATCCATTTTACTTATACATTGAACAGATATGATCTTTCCATGTTTGGCTTCGTAACTACATTGAAACACATTTTTGTATCAGATGTTATTAAGCTGTGTCCACTTTCACCATGGTTACAAACCAATACCATTTAACAGAAGTCCTTAGCATAGCTTTTGAAAAATATTCCTGCTAACTCTAGGCATCAAAACCAGATTGGTTACACTGCTCAGTAGTGTGTTAAGCTACAGGGATACCAAAATTGTTTTAGAACCTGACTGTAGCTAGTATATCTTTGCTGATGATGAGGCCTGGACTATTTCCAGGGTTTTTGTTTTTTCCTGACTTACCAATGCTTCTTAGAAGAAATAACTTGTAAAATATCTGCCACAGTATAAAAAAGCTGATTTAGAACCCTTCCTCTGAGAAGCTCTTAACTCTAGTATAAATAATGTAATTCCATCGGATTTTAATGTGAATTGTACTTGGGTTGAGAGTGGAACTACTGCATTTTACTTAAGCCCCTTGCTGCCTAGCAACACTGTTAGAAGTAGCCTAAGAAGGTTCAAATAAGATTTTTTGGTACTTTAGGAGATGTGGAATTCTGCAAAATATTTCTCCATTTTCTGCATCTTTCTTGTATGTGTTGTTAAACATTCTGAGATTATTTAAGTAAATTTTCCCCCTAGATATGAAAATACATCCATATCATCATCTTTTAAAAATGGATTAAAGATCAGAAATTAAAAAAAAAAAGTATGACTGATGATGAGGCTGTTTGAATCTGTTTAATTTCTGTGCTTTTTGATTACATTTCTACCTGTACCATTCTTGATATTTTTCATAGTTTGTAACTTACCATTGCAAATTTAATTGTCAATTTAAAATTTTCTGTCTGAGAGTGTTTACCTGTGTGTGCCTAGTACCAAAAGCTTACTTTTGGGTTATTTACATATCTGTTGAAGAAAACATGGTGAACGATTAATTTCTTTAATCCAGAGCAGCCTCTGGGTGACTCTCGGAGAAAAGTAAGTGATTTTTCTTGCAGGCTGTGGTGCTGTGTTTCATTGCATGGAGATATTTCCTTGTGGAAGCTTGATTTTTCTTTTTACCTTATTTATGTCATCTATAGATTTAGATTACATTTGTGGAAACAGGTTTCACCCTGGAAAGCAGATTTTGGTGTGTGGTTTTGAAATGCTTGCGTGTGGTGGTTCAGTCATAATTCTAAAATTTATTCTCCAAAGCTCATGTTTTCAAATTGTTTACTGCTTCTGTATACTACACTTAAGTTGTCTTGCATTTGTTTCTGAAAAGCACCAAGCACCTGTAGCTCGTATTTACCTGAAATCATTTGAAGCTCTGTGTGTCCTGAATGTTTGAAAACTGGGGCTGCGTTTCAGGTTGAACATTCAAAATTAGTACCTACTTCTGAACATTTTGACTATAATTTCCTTTCTTTACTTTCTACCAATTCACCGAAAGAGGGCCCAGCATCAAAAAACAGAATTGGATAATCTTCAGTTTTAAACGGGCTTTACCTTGCAAAATTCCATTGTGATTGCTATCTGTCTGATGTGCTTCAGAGCCCACATTACCAGTTTCATGCCTTTAACTGGTGCTGCATTTGGCATTGAATGTTTCACATTCTTAAAGATTAAATATTCTGTGGTGCCATGAAATACAAACCACACATATGATATAGCCAAAACAGGACAGCTTGGACTGGTCTAGTTCTTGTAGTCCTGGCCACAGAGGTTGTCTTAGCCTTTAAATTGGTATTAAATAAGCGATAATTCTGATAATGATAACTTTAAGCTCAAACTTGTGTAACAATTTAGCTTGTGCCTACAATTTTACTTGTGCAGACTAAACAGATAAAAGTCAGGTTTATATTGGATTTGGTGTTTCCAGATGATATAGCCTCAGTTTAAACTCATTGTTTTACAGTGATGTCTTTTGTTAGGTTGTTGCAAGTTTTTGTTTAGATTAGTCTGGAGACAAAATGCATCCATTGTGCGTAATTTGTCTCTCTAAATGGAAGACATTAGTGGGTACTTAGACATCTTTGTAGTGTTGGTGCTGAAGTTTTTTGCATTAAAAAAAGCACCAAAATAACTTTTCTATTTGGGTAGCTGTGGAAGCAGGGCAGTATTTACTTAGGGAAAGGAAATTATTGTAACTTGAGTCAAAAGTGAGCATGAGACACTTAAGTGAAAACAACAAGTACCAAAATATTCTGTTTTACTATGGCAACAAACCCCAAATGTAATCCAAATGAATTTGATTTGGCAAATTCAACTCCTTACTGGAGTTGCACAGCTCTGGTTTCTTCATGGCATTGATAACAGAGCAATTCCCCTTTCAAAAATAGTTTTCTTAAATGAAAGTCAAGTTAAATCCTAAACAGAAAGCCTGAGATTCCAACTGTTAATGAAGATCACATCTTATAAAGCTAATAAGGCATGGCTTTATCTTCCAGCTTTCATGACTTTTAACTGTACACCAAAATATGTCCTGTGTGAAAACCTTAGGAAACTTTTTTGCAGTATTTCATAAATTAACATTTCAGTTTAATGTCATGTTAATATTTTTATTCTTGTACAGTGTTTAACATTTCATTAGAGTCCCTTTTGCATTAATATCTAGTTATTTTTAAAGCTTTCAAACTCTTAATGTTTCTACAGAGGTGAATGAAGTTTTCTGACATACTAGACTGTTTCTAAAAGGGTGCTGATAGTTTCTTCCATTTCAACTGAAACAGCCTGAGCTATATACTTGAAAATAATAGATTAAACTTATTTCATCTTTTTGCATGTGTTTTGTTGGCTTGTGTCATATCTGGGGTGGCTTTTATTAAAGCAAACCACTTACAGATTGCATACCAGCTGTCATTGCTCCAATAATGCTGCTTTTCAAGCCTTCAGTTTTCATTTCCTTGGTGGTGCCTTTCTGCTTTAGAGGTTTCCATCTGCCTGTATGCCTTTCCTGTTAATCCTGCTGTTGACAGGAGTGATTGGAAATGCTGAAAATTATAGTGAACAGGGCAATAACTGCAAATCGGAATTGGTAGAAATCTTTAATGGAAGTCTGCAGATAAGAATGGGTCTCAGCCTTCAATTCACAGCCAAATGACAGGTTTGTAACTGGAGCAAAAGATTGTAATCATTAGCCTCCAATCATGGCTGAGACATCCTAGTTGATATTTCCCTGCATGTCATTAGAATGATCTGGTACAATACTGTAGGGTCTCTTACTGAGGTTTACAATAGGCTTTGTGTCTTCTCCTCACAGATTGGTTACTACCCCTGTTTTACAGCTGGGAGAAAATGAGGCACAGCATGCCTTGCCCAAGGTCACACGTTCAGTTACATGGCTGGGACCACAACCCTGGTTTTTTGACTCTTAGAGTGTGTATTACACATTAAGGGCAGCACTGTGCAGAGATACCGAAGCTGTCTACACACTAGTCCTGACCCAGAAGTAATAGAGCTGCATTAGTAGGGCAGTGCACTTGAACTAAAGCCCTTCTGCTCTTCAGACTTAATTAGCTGGGGCACAGCATTGTATGGGTACAGTTATGTTGCTTCTGCTTGAGGACACACACAACTAGCTCAGGTCTCACTGCATTGTAATGCCCTGAGCCAGATAAGCCTCCACCTGCTTCTTACCCAAGATATCTCTAGAATCACTTGTATTCAGAAGAAGAATGGAAAGTTGCATGCCAGTACTGAACCAAGGTTTGTTTATATTTTAGTGGCCAAGGACAGGAGATTGACTCAGTGGTGTAATAAAACTTTCCCATCTCTGGCATTAGTAATTCTGCAGCATCTAAAGAGTAACACTTGCTCTGTTGCTCTGGAGCATTCATTGCTGAAGTAGTGCCTCAAACATCTAGGATAAGAATTTTTTTTAAATCCCATTTTAATTTTTCAAGATTCAAATAATCAACAGCTAATCATATTACACCATTTGCTTTAACACTATAGTTATCATTGTTTTTAAAAAAAATATACAGATAATGGTTAACTTCCTTTAGCAGATTCTAGATTTGACAGACTGCTTGTGACAGACATTGATACAAGTTTATCCAATTACCCAGCAAGTATCAGGCTGAGTAGTATGATATTACCACCTTCATAATGGTCATCTTACTTTTATTCTAAATTTAAAGAACTTAAATGTAAATGAAACTGCCAGTCACTTATGAGGCAGATCCTTATCCTTCCTGAATCTTCAGGTTGACTGAACAAATTGCTTCAGGTGAGTTTTGTGTTGTTCCCTATGTCTCATGTGGAATGTTAACTTGGAAATCTAATACCATGGCTATTGGCCACATTCAGACACTGAATTTCTCCTGGAAGAGGCAGGAGAAACCACAAATGTACAGAGGTTTGGGATTATTCTCCCAGAGCAAAAATGATTCCCCCAGGAGAAAACTAACCTGGGAACAACTAGGTGTCATTCACTCTCAGGAAAGTAAATATCTTTTACACATTCTCTCCTGAGAGAAGCCACAACACAGTCCTTCAGCATCACAGGGTGCTTTGCCAATTCTCCCAGATCATATGAACATGAGTACACAGCCATTGTGACCTTTCAGCGTTAATAATCAGTTGAGCAGAAACAATCATCGGCTCTGGAACTGCGGGCATGAATAGTATGCCACCACTGTTTTGTTCTTTTCTTCAGGGTTGATTTGTGACAGCAAGTAAACATTCACAGCTGAGATCTTTACTCTGACTTTGAAATAAAAATCTGCTCCATTCCAATTTTTGTCTGGAATGTACATTTAACCTTTGAAATGTTTTCTGTTAGAATAGCTGACGTGAAGCTGCCTGTTCTGCAACCAATAGTCACTGTGAGCTTATCAGTACTTGGAAGTATCATCTCAGTATGATTAGTGGCCCAGAGTCTGATCTCTAGCAAGTATATAAACTGCAAAATCTGCATAGAAACACCTTTTATAGGACCTATTTTCTCATGTTCTTAATATTAGAATCTGAGGCCTTACCATTTCTCCAAGAAGGTAGTGCTTCAGCGGACATCCTTTTCCTCTGTTAAACTGGTTCTTTCCACTTAAGGAAACTAGAGATTTTATCTTGGTTCACTTTGCTTTAATTGTGGTAGAGAAATTGGGATCCTGTATTCACATGTTTAATATAATCATCAAAGAGAAAAGTTAGCTTGCCAAAAGCTGTTACGTTGTGAGCAACTTCGGAAGGAGTCCGCCTCATTGGGCAGTCTCAGAAGCTCTCTGTTGGTGTCTCATTTGTCCATAAGACTTCCATCTCTGCAAACATCAGTCTAATGCTGATCTAAGCCACCAATGAAAATAAATCTGGGATAAACCCAATTCCCAGTGCACATTTAATGTATTGAAAAAGCTTCCATCAGTTTGCTACAAGCTGTAGTGCTATTCTCAGGAGAGCCAGCATTGAAATAACAAAAGCTCTGGAGATTAAGTAGAATTGTGAGTTAAAATCTCCAGAGTTGATTGTGTTCTGTGAGCTGCTGCTCTGAGTATAGATGCCTTCATAATACTAAACCTAGCATCTCAATAAATGCTGTGTTACATGCCAGTTTGGAGGTGGTCTTGCAGATCTAGGAGGACATGCATTGGGGACTAAAATGCAGGAGAGCACTTCGGGTTAGGACTGACTTATGTTGCTTTATCTATGCATTGTCCTCCTGTTTTATACATTTTAAAGTAATTTGCCAGGTTCAGCTTCAGTGTTTTAAAGGACCTTACTATGCATAACTGGTGTCAGCAGTTTAGCATTATTAGCTCTTTAAATCAAGCTTGATTTGGTCCTTAGGAACAGTGGTTTGACAGTTGTTTTGAGCCCATTTTAATGTTTTTTATCAGTTGCTACTTAATGAAGCAGCTATTTAATACTAGTATCAAGAATGCTTTAAAACAGTGATGAGGAAGTGGAATAACATTTTGTATTAAATAGCTTGTGATTAAAGAAACCTAACTAAATCTTCAGTGGGGTTATAGCTACTATGGTCCCTTGTGATGTCACACAACTGTAAAATAACATTTCTCCTTCAGTGATCAAAATAAGTGTATATTTTCAGATTCACTCCTCTGCTAGATTATGAGAGATTCAGAATATGTCTTTTATAGCAAATTTGCAGCTGGACATGAGTGAGTTAGAAAGAGTCTAGTGTTCTGAGGTGTCAGGGCATGTTTAATATTTCTGGCAGTTTTAAGATGGATTCATCTTCTTTATCCGCATCTAGCAACATAAATGTATTTGACCTTTGGGTCACAGAGAGAACAAATCCAGGGCCCAAGTGTGTCACACTCCTAATTAGAACAAAAACTGAGGGATGAAATAACCCTGCAAGAAATAATGTAACGTGCCTAAACAATGGGAAAAGGCTCCTCTTGCTTTTCTGGAAACCCCACCCAGGAAAATTGGAATGCAGCTGTGCTTTCGGCATGGCCAAAACTTGAGACCTCCTTTTGTGCTTCTAATCATTTGTCAGTTTTTGTGACAGACTCCTATAACGCAGCTCAGACTATAATGCCTCTATGAAATTGCAGAGCTTGGTTGAAATGAGTTTTAAGCATGACTGAGCATGAACAGAGGGGAACATTTATCTTTTCTGCTGGTGCATGTAGTTATAGCAGAAATCTCTGTTGGGTATAGTGAATAGAATCTGATAGGCTTGGGAGTGTGGCTGCTGTGTTCATTTGGACTAGCTCTTGGCTGCAGCTAAACTCTTGCTCTTATTTAGAGCTGCTTTTTTTGTTTGTGCCTGATCTATATGTCTGGAGCAAAGTTGGTTCATCATTTCCTGCGAATACAAGAATTCAGCTGTTTGTCTTACCACAGAGAGCACTTGAACAGATAAGCAGCTGAAAAGCAGAAGCCTCTGCATTGTACAAGAAAAGCTTCTTGCCAGTATGCAGAAAGAGTGCTACAGACAGGATTTCATTTGATTGCCTGTGCAGAGGCAGATGGCTGGTAGTATTAAAAACTTGTAAAAGGTGGGAGAAAGTGTATTGTTCTGAAGGGACAGGGGTAAGGCTGTCATGCACAGCAGCAATTGGCTTTGTTAAAATCTTTTTTGCGGGGACCTTTTTTACAGTAAATAGGAAATTACCTTGTTTGGTTATATGCAATGGGATGCAGATGTCTGGACCTTATGAAATGAGACATTTCCTGGATTGAAAAAATATCTGAGAGGATACAATTCTGCTTTTACTTTCAAATTCCCTTCATTAATACACATATATGTCCAAGTACTGTAAACATGTGCATTAACATGTATCATAGCTGCTTTTCTAGATGACCTTTGTTTCTCTCGCTGACTTTTCTCTTGTTTTTCTAGACCAATGAAGCGAGCTCAGAGTCGATAGCATCTTCCCCCAAAAGGGACGCCATGAGCAGCTTTTCACCAGATAGCAACTGTTATGAGTTGCTCACCATTATAGGTAATGTTCCTAAGGAAAGAACTTTCATTTTTCAAGGATCCTTCTACAAAGGAAGCTGGATGTTCCTTTTATGACTTCTTGTTTTCTGAAATGTTTTTTTCTTTCTTGGTTGTATTATTAATTGTAAAATCACTTCCTGTCTTGAAAGCCTTACAGTTGAATCTAAAGGATGGACAGGATGTGAGAAGGTTGTATGGTCCTGAAGTTAAAATGAAAGGGCACTAGATGGGACTCTTGAGTCTTTTTTCTAGCCCAGCCATTTGCTTTATTGGTGATTCTCTGCAAGTCACTTCACTACCTCTCTGTGCCTCAATTGTTTTTTAATCTGCAAAACAGGAAAGTAATGCCCCACTTCTCAGAAGAGTTGGGAACACATGCTTATAGGTGGTGTACTTTAAATGAAAGCTTACGTTTTATTGTAACAACTTGTTATTCCACAAATTTGTAAACAGTTGTTCAGGTGAGAGAGGGTGTGAGCATTACTGCTGAAGAAGTAGTATTAACGGAAACTTTCCAGCAGTGAGGTTCAAGCAACGATGGTATTTTGGTGCTCATGGAATGAATTTCTCTTTCTCTTCCAGGCCAAGGCTTTGAGGATCTGATGATTGTAAATCTAGCCAGGTATAAACCAACAGGAGACTATGTGACAGTCAGAAGGATTAACCTGGAGGCCTGCACTAATGAGATGGTGACATTTTTGCAGGTAACGTTGTGTAGCCTCTTTCATTTATACTGAAACAATTTGAGATCTAAGATACAAGACACTATAGAAACAGATTATTATTTTAGGGGGGTTGTCCTGGCTGAAATCGAGACTTTTTATTGAATCTGTTTGCTTTTGGAGGAATTATCCCTCACTTGCAGGAATGAACTTTCCATGCTGAACTGCTAGAAGCACATCCTAAGAATTTAGTTTCAAAGCAGAGAGTTAGTGGATAAGTCTTCAAATTCAGGAGATCTCATGCCATAATTTGTTTATCCTTCTCCAGTAAATAGAGACATGGATCTTGACAGAAAGGAGATACTCCTTTTTTTTTTAATGCATCAAAAACATCTCTATGTTCCTTGAGTTGGGAAGCTGGGATTGTCAGTGGGCACTCCTGAGTCCAGTGCTAAGTGAGTAATACCCATTTGCAGATATCAAACCAGGACAGTCCAACTCTAGTGAGAAATTATTCCAGCTGTCAAACCTCTCCTCTCTGCAAAAGAAAATAAGGATTTCTGTTGACAAGGTTCAGGATAATCATCTGATGAAAGAATTTTAAAGCTTCGCTTGCTACTAGACTTAACATTAGACTTTAGGTGATGACACTGAAGTTTTCAAATGCTTGGACAAAAATAGTCTGTTCTGTGAAGAGAGTGTTTATTGAGGACACGGATGTGCAATTTCACGCATATGACTAAAGAACAACAGAAAATCTTCACCTAAGCTAAGACACAGCAACAACACACAATTTAGAACGTACAACTTAGCCTACTTTAAGACACAGCAGCAACTGCATAAGTCTTCCATAGTCCCAGGGACAGTCTGCAACCAGGCGTTCAGAAGTTTTGTTTTGTTTTGTTTTGTTTTGTTTGGGGGGGGCGGGTTCACAGTAGGTTTAGCTGTTGAGGGCAGTCCCACGGACCTTATTTTTGCCTGGGTTTTTACAGGCGATCTGCACCCCCTTCTCCACCTTTGGTGCTGTGACAGTGGCATACTTTTTTCATCTGGTGTTTGATTACATGCCTTGGGATGTTTGTCTGATGGTTCCTTGTTTTCACCAGTCTCACTTTGAAATGTAAATGTAGCCCCTCCCCCTGCCCCCCCCACAAATCTACAGTTAAAGGGCCAGAGACTTTTGTGTTGGCCCCATAGTTTGGCCAGTACAGTCTGTTTTAAATGTCCAGAACACAGATGCTCTGTACTCTGGATCTCTACAGTTAGTTATTTAACTGTGCTCTTATTCTAAGTATCTTTTTTGCTTTTAGGGTGAACTTCATGTGTCCAAGCTCTTCAGCCATCCCAACATTGTGCCATACAAAGCAACCTTCATAGCTGATGATGAGCTATGGGTAGTGACACCCTTCATGGCCTATGGTAAGTGGAGAAGGAACACTTGTATTATTTGACAGGGTCAGCTAGTGGTTTTGGGAAAAGACTGTTATTTTAGGAGGTGACATCATCAGTTCTTTCTGCTCCATCAAAAACATTTCTTGGTTTTTTTCTAGGTTCTGCAAAGGATTTAATCTGTACCCATTTTACAGATGGCATGTGTGAACTGGCTATTGCTTATATCCTCCAAGGAGTTCTGAAAGCCCTTGACTATATTCACCATATGGGTTATGTACACAGGTAAAAAGGGAATCGCCTCTCCTACTCTGTGTAGAATCTGCTGCAAAGTCTTGCAAACGACATTAATTCAGAGGGAACTGGGTAGCTCATGGGACTGTTAATAGATTATGATGCCTTTCTCGTTTAAGCTGCCTGGTTCAGCCTAGGGTGGTAGTGCTTGAGCATTGCTATAATCTGACAGCTGTTTGATAGACTGTGAAATGAGTTGTCTATCTCAGTTCATTTTCCTGGAGACCAAAGGAATTCATGGTAAGAGGCATCCTGTTCAATCTTACAGTTAAGAAAACTATGCTGACAGCTGCAGAGGGAGTTAGGATTGAGGGAAAATGAGGAGTTTGCCCTGATAGTTACAGTGTCCAGGACCTTTAGGCCTGCACTTTTCTTTATTGTAAAACTATTACTTTTTAAAAAGTAAACCAAAGGTTGAACCTGGGGTAAAGTGCATTAGTAATGTAGGTCCAGATTTAGGTCTTTGCCAGGGCCTCTGAGGTATAAAGATGAGAAAAGGGAGGTTGTGACAGCAGAAAATAGCTGTAATCCTTTGTCAAGGAAGTTGTTAGGGGCTATGAGAGGACTATGACAGGAAGAGAGTATAGTTAGGGAATGTAGTAATTTCTCCAGAACCCAAAGTATAAATTTAAATCCGTTTCTTCTTATGGAAATGACAGGGGGCAGGTGACAGTGTAGCCACCTGCTGCTGACATATTGAGGTCTCTGCATATGGAGGCATAGGGAATTGGGTCCATGTGTCTACTGGCTTTATTGTAATATTACACAATATTCATAGGTGGCTGTTAAGGGTCAAATTCTTCCCTTCTTTCATTGCTGCTTACTATATTGCTCTTGGATGCTGTTGGGGCAGTTATCTTCTGTGCCTTCAATCAATGAAACACTGAGTAAATTAGAGCTTCAGTCTTTCCACAGACTCGCTTTAACTTCTAGCTTTATTCAAATAATGGTAAAAACATGCCTGTTTTTGGCTGTTTTTTTCTTTAAAGGAGTTGAAGGCATTTTTATGCATAAGCGCATGATATTATTGGGCTGTTCTGATCTCTCATCCAAAACCAGTGCCTGCAGCCACTTAATCTGTTTGTTGCCCCCCGCCCCGCCCAAATTCCTCCCAAACTATTGTGTATAGTGGAAGTAAGTTTCTAAAGCGGATTGTAGAAGGCTCCCAACTGTTGGGTATTTGATAAATGGACCAGCAACATATCTAGGCTTCAGATTACTCCCTCCTTAGCTCCTATATAGAATGCACATAGAGGGATGCCGTGAGGACTTGAAATTCCTTCTAGGGTAAGTAATCTTTGACTTTCTTGCTTTAAGGAGCGTGAAAGCCAGCCATATCCTCATCTCTGTGGATGGAAAGGTGTATCTCTCTGGCTTACGAAGTAACCTGAGTATGATCAACCATGGGCAGCGACTCAAAGTTGTTCATGATTTCCCCAAGTACAGCATCAAGGTCCTTCCCTGGCTCAGCCCTGAAGTTTTACAGCAGGTATGTTCGAAGATCTTTGGTCGCTCATTTTCTTCCTCTTTCTCAGTCTTGACTTGATGGAAAACAGTTCCAGACAAGACACACAAATTTATTTTCAAGCTAATTTTGTAGCCTTGGAAGAACATGTGACCACATAGCCATGATTGTTGGAAGAGATGCATCAGACTTTCTTGGAATTTGCTTTCTTTCCCCCATTTTAGGTTTCAATGCAAATTACTCAATTTCATAGTAAGAGAACTGGGCTCTTGGGCACTTGTATAGCCAAACTTACTTACTCTCCTTAATAGAACATGGTGCTCGCAGCCATCTGCAAAACCAAACTTCTCCCCATGGCCTTTCTTACCTCATGGGAGAGCCCCTAATGGTGGCTACGCAGGTCTGACAACACTCATCCTGAGGTTTATGAGCTGCTCACATGAATATCTTTACATTCTGTGGGACTTCATGTGTTGTGGTTCCCTTTAGTAACTGGCAGGAAGAGTTTTAAAGACAGACTCTGTCTCTTCCAGTTGGTCCCCCAGGGGTGGCAGAGAAAGCAATGAAGGCAGACTTCCTTCCTGAACCTGACTGGAATCTTGGATGCCAGGTCAGGACCTTCACCTGCAGTGCTTGTGTTGCCACCTTAGCAGAATCAGCTGTTTAAAGGTTATGTCCTAATCTGCTTGTACACAGCATTTGTAATCTTGCTGTGTTTGTGTGGTTCTGGGACACGGTTCAGTGATGACAAACTCTGACTGCTCAGAGCCACTGATGTTGTTTCATAAAGTTAAACTGACATCTTAGAAACTTTTAGTGTCACTTTTCCTTCTATTATCTTTTCCTGCTTGCACCTTTTTTCTTAAAAATAATTAAAAACAGCAGTGTGGCAGGGGGGAAGTGAGTGTTAATTGGATTAAAATGAGCCTGTGAGAAGGTCTGCGTAATGACATTGGTAGGATCTTTGCCTGCTAGGCAGTGTTCAGGTTTCTGGTGGTGTTTCCAAAAGCTAGAAGGAGAATGCTATAAGTAGCACCTAGGTATGTGTAGCTAGATAGGTTCATCTTGAGTATTTGCAGGCTTCCCCAGGACCAAAATGTGTTAGCACCTCACAACCCTGAATATATTAAATCTATACGGTAGCAATGTGTTTTATCCATTTTACAGGTGGAGAAACAAGGCAAAGAGGGGTTAAGCAGCTTCCTCATGCTGACATGGAAGATAAAGGTGGAGTAGGGAATTGAATGATCCTGCATTTCCCAAGTGACAAACTAGTGCCCCAACCCCTGAGCTGTCCTCCTCCTGCCTCCATGGAAGAAACAAACTGACTGCTCATCTTTTTTAAATTCAAATCTGTTGTCTTGTAGTATAAAAACATAAAATTCCCCTGTTGGAGTCTAGAATATTTTGATTTCACCAGTTTTAGCTCTTCCTCATTGGTAGCTGATCAGATTCTCACAAGGCTACATGTAACATTTACCTGAATCTGTATCTAATTCTGCCTCTCTTTCCTAGAATCTCCAAGGCTATGATGCAAAATCTGACATTTATAGCGTGGGGATAACGGCCTGTGAACTGGCAAATGGACATGTCCCATTTAAAGATATGCCTCCTACTCAGGTAGAGTTTACTTCTGTTCTCTGTGTGGCTTCTGTTCTCCTTCCAGCCCAGCAATTTAACTGCATGCTGTGCAGCCAGGAAAATAGATTCTGTACTGTTCTTGTAGTTCTCTGCAAGAAGCCAAGCTAGTAGCATCAGTGGGAGATGTAAAACACAAATTCTGACCTTGTGAGGTCATTAACATACAATGGCCCTTTTTCACCAAGTTAAGACTATTAACCCTGGGACTCTGAGCAGATTACAAGATGGTTAAGTATACTGTGTCTTTTCTTACCTCTGTTTTGGTTCTTTTTCTTTCTTTCTTATTAGATAGCATTGCTGTTAAACTGATGACTTTGCCAGCCTGAACATCTCTAAATGTCTTCACATACTTTTTTAGACAGAGACCTATGAGGTTATCTCTTTGCTAGTATAGGATTATTCCCTAATGTTATTTTTAGTGCTGTCTTCCCAGTCCAGTCTTAATTGTTCTAAAATATAGAGATTTTTTAAAAATACTCTGGGTTTGGACTTGTTACTGATTGGTTTGTCAAATGCACATTAAGCCCCCACTTTTATTTCTCCTCTTGGGGCTCTTTTCTTTCCCGAATACAAGGATACATCTGGACAGATGCATCACGTGGGTTTCTGTTGAAGCTGGGAATCCAATATAACACACAGTTCATGAGACAGGGAATTAAAGTTGATCCCTTCCTCAAATGCTAGATGTGAGCCTTCTCCCACCAAAGTTGGTAGCAAGTCAGTCTTCCACTGTTTTCAGGAGAATCAGGAAAATCCCATTTAGTGTAAAACAATCCTGGCTTGCAGACTGACTGTGGGCAGCATCTCACAGTCAGACTGTCTTTTCTTTTTTCATGTGGGCAAGCACTTGAATTCTTCCAGAAATCAGGGACTCACCTGGAAAGATGGAATAAAAATATCTACTACGAAATTTAAGCTAGAGAACTCAATTGACTGTTTGACACCTCTCTGCACACAGATGATGTTGTGCACGTGGGTTGCTCTTGCGGTATAGAAATTAGTTGGAATGTGTAACCTCTACCAGCTTAGAAAGATGCATACTTCTGAGCTATCCTGTGTGGCTGAAGTTACATCATTGCTCTGGTAATGAAAGCATTGTTCAGAACATTCCTACAGAAGTGGTATTACTGGAGTCTTGGATGTGAAGGTTTAAGGAAAATTTGGGAGGCAATGTTTCTACCTGTTCTAGTCTCTCCTCACTGTTAGTGCAAGCTGACTTATTCTTATACCTAGTCACTTCATGAAACCCTGCTGGCAAAATAAAGGTGTCCAAATGCTGCTGAGGGACTGAGGATCCAACAGAAGTTCCGTGAGCAATTTTCCTAAATCAGGGGAATCCTAATAGTACAGCAAAGGCTCTGATTTTTTCCCCCCTATGCAACATCTGCTTTCTTTGAACTGTCAAACTGGATATCTAACCTTTACAGGTTATAAATGTGCATACAAAAGTTGCCTGCCTCTGATTTCCATCAAGTAAGACTCCTTCAAGGGTCCAGAAGCTGCACTGTGGAGTTGTACACTATGACTTGTGGGATCAGACCTCATGTGAAAACAGCATTGAGCCTACTACATTCTGATTGTAGCAATCCATTAGATTAGCCACTGAAGAATGCTAGAATCTGTCTTGCATAAAGAGCAGGGCTGCATGAAAGCATGATGTTTTCTGGTCATGGACTGCTTGTAGTACACCACAGTTGATTATTTTTGTATATTAACATGATGACAATTGAATTTATCCTAGTGGGACCTGCCAGCTCTCTTACTGTGCTCTTCTGTTGTCTGTATTGTGCATGTAGCACTTTTTTCATCCTTTTCCTTTCAGATGCTCTTGGAGAAGTTGAATGGGACAGTTCCATGTCTGCTGGACACCACCACGATTCCTGCTGATGAGCTAACTATGAAACCATCCCGCTCAGGTGCTAACTCAGGGATTGGTGAAGGCATGGCTGTTAGCAACGTGAGGGCCTCCAATGGAGAGTCGACGCTGCATCCTTATCTTCGGACTTTCTCACCCCATTTCCATAACTTTGTAGAGCAGTGTCTGCAGCGTAACCCAGATTTCAGGTACAGCTGTAATAGGAGTCTGTGGTCACAGGCATGCTGTTAAACACCGTTTGGGGCCTGGTTATTTTAACTTTTGGCTCTCTCTGATACTGAGGTTGCTTAATCAAGGTTTCTGAGTTGGGTCTACAGTGGTATTTAATTAAGTGATCATTGAAAAGCAAACTGCATTAAATTGTACCCTGTATGTACAGCAAAAGAGCTGTGCAGATAGTTCTACATATGTTTCCTGAAGGCAGTAGTGTAGTACTTCAGTGGGACTTCCCTTCAGAGATCTCATAGCATTTCGAAGTTCCTAACAGCCTCACAACCTCCTTCTTAGGTGGTAGTGTTTTACAGCTGGAGAAACTGAGGTAAAAGTTAAATACCTTGGCCACCACACCCCAGATCTTTGGTGTATGCTGGGAAGCTAAGCCAGGAGTTGGGACTTCCAGTCCCCAGTGGCTCTGTTTTCACCAATAGGAACACTTCTGTTGTGTAGCCCAGGGGTTTTCAACCTTTTTAAAGAAGAGTACCCCTTTTGGTGGCAGTGGTCAGACGGGGGGCGGGGGGCTTGCACACTGCCGCCACCACCCGCCATGCCCCACTTTCTCACAGCCAGTCACACATACAGCTCCGTGGGCTGCTGACAGGCCTTACACCCAGCCAGTCGCACACCACCTTTCACCAACCCGCAGAGCCACACATGTGACCAGCTGTTGGAAAGCGGCGCATGGTGGTGGCATGGGGCAGTGTGCAGCAGTGGCAGTGCGGGGTGGTGAATGGTGGTGGCAGCTTCCCCCCCGGAGGTGGCGGTACAAGGTGATGAGTGGCAGTACTCTGTCCCCACTTGCCTGCATGTACCCCCTAGGACCTTCCCAAGTACCCCTAGGGGTATGCATACTCCCAGTTGACAACCCCTGGTCTAGCCAGTACAGCTTATCTTGAGATTGTCATGAATGAATGCTCTAAAGCAGATACCCTGTTTGGAACAGTTCATTTTATGCAGGTTAGGCTCAGAGAAAAGTTGGAATAGTCTGTTTACCTCGAAGTTGTTAGGTGGCAAGCAGGATGTAGAATCATATTTCCTTCTGGTTCTGATGTTTCATATTTCACAGAAGAGTAAAAAGATGAAATACTCTTTTGGGCAGGAATTTTTAATGTGAGGTATCTCTGGGCTCTGTGATAATGCAAATTACCTTGAACAAATACTGCTGCCTTTGTCTGAGGTAATTTGCATTATCACAGAGCTCTGAGATACCTCAACACGCAAAAATTCCTGCGCGGAAGAGTATTCCATCTTTTTACTCTTCTGTGAAATATGAAATATCAGAACCAGAAGGAAATATGATTCTACATCCTGCTTGCCACCTAACAAC